TCCAGAAACAGAGTTGGTCTCTCATAATCGCTTACCAACCATACAAGGCTGTCCAGCACTTATGGCCCCTTTAGTTTTTGGGAACACTTCCAGATCAGGATTGCTGGGGGAAAGAAAATAATTTCTTCTTATATCCTGGCAAATATTCTCAAATCTCTTCTAAATCTCTTCTTTCTCATCCTCACAGGCCTGTTTCCATGATCTCCCAGACTACAATTTCCAAGTGGGAATACAGAAACATTAATATCACACAGACTAAGCCTTCTCTCTCTTCTGTATTCAGAGGTGGTTGCACACAAAGCAAAGGAGAGGAGGGAGCCAAAGAATGAAAAGTCTTCACAGGGATGTGGGAACACACGAGGAAGTCAGTAAAAGTTGGAGGCTGATGTGGGGTGAGTAGGTGGAAGAGAGAAACACAAACCCTTCCTGCTCCACCGCGTTTACACCTGGCTGCCCCATCCTCCCACTCCCAGTCTGCTCCTCTGCTGTGGCCAGAAGAAACCCACAGCATCTCAACATCTTTCTAATCATGATGTAAAAGCTATTAAATGATGGTGTTTCAACTGCAAATCCTACAGGCACAAAACTAGACCCTGTAGACCACTGGCCCTCCCACACTGCTCCAGACAGATTACTGTCTGCAGCTAAACAGCATCTCCTCAACACATCTCACTCTGAGTCCTCTTCCAGCGCCCTTCTAACGTTTTTAAATCCCTCTTAACACATTAATCTTGTGCCATCACTTATAGATACAGTTCAACTGTTCTCCTGCCACACCACAGCAAGCCATATCTCAGACCCAGCTCCCCAAACAGCCATCAAATGGATTTGTTGCTTGGTTTGGAGTGGAAGAACAGATGGAGAAACATCAGCACTAATTCAATAAACCTTACAGCCTCTGATTCTGCTTGGCCAGAAATATAATATATGTATACCATGTGACTGATTTTAAGATCATGCTAAACACTCTGCTGAACATAAACTGTGTATTTCTGAAATTAAACACTTGCTTAAGGCCCTGCTAAATTGGGATGAAAAAAAATAAGACGTACAAGGCAAACCCTCTTGCAGCTCTGGCTCAGAAAAGCCAAAAAGTGTATTTAGCTATAAAAGTAAAGTCAGTGAAAAAGCATCCTTATTTGAGAGGCACCATGGAGATGACAGCCCAGACTTCACCAATTACTTATGTAAAATCAGAACAATAGCAAGTGATAATCATGGATTGAAAAACATTCACAAAACCCTTCTGCTACCAGTGAGTTATTCCTCATGTGTGTTAGTTAAATAATTTTAACTTTGGAAATACAGACTTATACTAATTTACAATTTCACAGATTGAGACTCCTCACTGTTACCAGGAAATCTGAAGGGAAGAGCAATCCCAGAGCTGTGCAGAAACACCTTAAAGCAAAAAGTAGAGAAACCAACAAAAGTAAAAAAAAGTTTACAGTAAAAAACTCAGAGACTGTTGCAACCCTTTGCAGGGATTAGAAAAATGCAATTTTAATTTTTTTTAAATGGGCTTTATTTTTTCTCTTGCTTCCCTTTCTCAGAGGACATAAATCACTCTCAGCTGTGAAGGAACTACAAGCATTTGGCTTTGCTGGGGAAAGAAGTGTTACTGGACAGAAATAAAATCAGCAACCAGGTCAGTGTTTGTATGTTTTACAAAGCAGCACTTCCAAGCTCTCTGCAATCCCACACACTCCCGTGCCTTGAAGCCATTTTCCCCACGGCTGCAAGAGCCCTGCAGAACATGGAGCTGGCAGGGGATTGTGTTACTGCCCTGACTGCACTGGGAAACACCAACTCCTGCACCCTGCAGCTGTCCAGCTGCTCAGGGAGCTCCACCAGCCTGGTTAATGACTGTGCTGCCTCTCCAGAGCCAGCATCACCCAGCTCCATCACTGGGGAGAAACAGGCTCCAACCACAGACCGTTCGCTCTGGAATTAGTTGAAACTCAGAGGCTTTGCAAACTGTGTCACTTCCAAAGTTATCCTTACAGATAAATCTTTATATATATATTTTACCCCTATAAAACTACTGTACTTCTGCACTATCCTATTCCATCTGCACTACAGGACACTGTTTACTGCACAGTTTTCATCTTGGAGATAAAACAAGTCCCCTCAGGAATGATATACAACTGATGGATGTTTATTGATGATGAATATTTGATTATATGAATATTTATTAATGAAAGCTGCTATTGACACTTGATCCCTGGTGACCCACATGGGCTCTGTGACAGCTCCTTGTTTGGGTTCCAAAACAACCAGCCCATAGACCTTTCCTGTCTGAGGAGGAAAAGACAGCGCCACCACAGAGCAGAATACTTCCAGGGATGGAAAACTTACATAGGAAGCATCTTTTATTTTTTTTTACATGAAATACTGCAAAAACTGAGAAGGGAAAGTCCATCAGATAAAGAGAAATTCAAAATGTCACAGTGAAATTAGTTTTTGAGAAAAATATTTACACTGCAGCTGAATCAAGCTGCTTTGCAGACAAACCAAGGCAAAACAACAACGGAGAAGGTTTTATGTCTGCTCTTTAATGATTGTATCCTAATTATGGCAGAATTTCACCCCTTCCCAATGCTGGCTGGAAGAATTATTGTAAAATGGAGGGTCCTGCAAATTAGCAAGCGAGAGAACAATAAATTCCCCCCAAGGATAATGCATCACAAAACACACTGCATTAATTTATTTGGCACAGTGCAGTTTAATTACTTGTAAAAATAATGACTCCTTTGTAGGGGCCCTCACTAACATGCGTTGCTGCTCTGTGTTTTGCTGAGTGGGACGAGCTGTGTGCCAAATTTGTGTGCATGGATTATACAGTGTGAGCCCAGGCAGAGTGCAGAAAGGAGGTTGTACAGTGTCCTTTGTGTTTTGACAGCACAAAAATGACAATTGCTCTCTTCACGGAATTTTCTGTGTTTTGAAGCTCAGTATTTCTCCTCCCAATAGGGACTTGCAAGTCTTGATCCTATCTTATGGCATAAAATACTCACCGTAATAAAAAAATAAAAAAAGTCACTGCTGGGGAATCAAGGTGTGGCTGTTTTTACACCATCTCTCTCCTGCGGGGAAGGGCTGTGGCCATCCCCATGTCACTGCTCCAGTCAGTCCCAATGTCACATCACAATACTCCATCACCACCCCATGCACTGAGAAAGGGAACCAGGATTTCCAGTATCCATGGATTTCTGTTTTTAGGGCTTCATGGGAATAGAAGAGTTCTCAAAGTCAGGGGACCTGTGGCATGGTCAGATGTTTATACATTGTATTTCCACACAGCAGTCCAAGAGGAAAACAAACCAAAAAGAACAGTTTAAGGATATACCAAGAAGAACAGGAATTGGGACCTTGATAGTCTGCAGTTGCTTGTGTCTTACTTTCAAAGACAAATTGCAAAGGTCATCAGAAAAATTCCATGGATTGGGCCAGCAGCATTCCTTAAGTCCAATGACACAGGACAATGTCATGGAATCCCAGTCCTCTCTTCATTCAGCTGATGAGAACTGCCATTCCAAAACTGGAGCCAGTTGTGAAAAACTTCACCAAATACATGAATAGCTATTGTAATAGTTTTGTTTACTTCCCATTTTTATTTAAATTACCAGCTCTACTCCCATTAGCGCTGCAGTATTTGCGGTGAGCTCTATAATCAAGTTTTGGCCAGCTTAAGCTTCCTGCCAGTATGTAAAGCCTGTTAATGTGGTTAGTCTCACCTTGGAGAACCTTGTTGCAGTTACAGGATGAATTTACACATCCCATTTTTACAATATAGCCTGAAAGATAGTTGTGTTTTCACAGTATGACTGATCTTGATGGAGAATAATGTAACACTGTCATCCTTTCTGTATTGATGCCAGCAAAGGTGGCAGGAAAATATTTGGGTATAGGTTCCATCCCACCCTGCACCTTCTCCTTCACCCTCACTTTCCAAGTGGCTGCCTGAATTTAAGGATAAAACTTAAATGCAATCACTTCAGCAATACAGATCACATTTTCTGCCCCAAAATACTACACCCAATAACTACAGAAAGCAGAGTAATTTACAATCTTTAACAGGGAACGTTGCGTGATAATATGGACAACACAGCAGACTCCTAAACATGACACTGGGTCATTCAACATAAACTCCAAGTATCTGAGAAATCAATTCAGAAAGACAAAGTTTATAACAAAGCTTAAGAGAACCATGCATCAGAATAACACACACGGAGACTAAATCTTTTCTCCTATACAAACAGCCCCCTTGAGATTTTTTTAAGCTCTTTGTCTTTATTAGCTTCAGCTATTAAAGCTAGATCTCCAAACATTTGCTGCTCAAAACTAACTCGCCATCTTCCAAAGGATTCCTTGTAAAGCAGTGCAATAAAAGCTCATGCCACTAGTTACTTGCTATGTGTTCTAAGACCTGGCTTTTTCTCAAGGCCATTTACAACAGATCTGTTTCTGTTAAATATTCTGTTCTCCTTTAAATATTTGCAGTAATTCTTAGCTTTTTTTTAAGCTACACTAGTAAAATGCCTATTCATCTCAAGATGCTGCCTTATTTTAATATAATGATCACTATTTTATTTAACTAAAAAACTCCCTCTCTAAAAAGTAAAATACAACAGTCCACTACCACCATAATGCCTATTAGCTTCCCTCTTTTGGGCAGTTGTGCTTGCTTGAAGAAAAGCTTTTTCATTTGTGTTTGCATAAGATTTGTATTAATTAGTCAATATTACAGTGACTCACTTTGGACTTTACATGACAGCTGGAAGCAAATATTGAGCAATAAGAAACACCCCCAAAAAATTATTCCATTTCCCCTAAACCCTCAGGACTGCTGCTAGCAAGAATGGTAAAAGCAAAATTACACCAAAATTGCCTTTAAGGACAGAATATAGCACTCAGACACCACTGAGTGGTAACGTACAGCAAAGCCAAGCATGGTAGAGAACGGAAAACCAGCGGAGGAACCACCAAATCATCCTTACTCTGTCAAGAGCTGGTGCAGCTTCTGGTAACCCCTCTCCAAGGCCAAGCTGACAGGCGTTGCCCCCTCGTTGTTGTGGATGCTGAGAGCTCCTCTTCCACCCGGCTGCTGGAGCAGAAACCACGTCAGGCGCAGCAGACCCAGCCTGACCGCAAAATGCATCAGTGTCTCCCGAGGGATGTTCTCTGGGAAGGCAGGAAAAGACAGAAAGAAATGGGAATTTGTAGGCTTGTGGGTTAGGGGAAATGTTATATGCCCACATCCCAGCTCCACCACACGTCGGCTGGCATGGAGATGACAGCCCAAAGGAACCTGCAGCACCTGGAAAAACAGCCTGGCTGCCAATGTGCAGGAGACACCAGTCGTAAAGTGAGGGACATGGTTTGGTGGGGCTGGGAGTGCTCAGGACCTCTCATGCTGAGATTGACCACAGAAGTCAATGTGAAAACCCCACCATTTCCTGAACAGCCATAGCCGCCACCAAGCTCCAGCACTCCCAAACAGAAATGTGGTCAGGTGGCTTTTCCTGGATGTCCAAACCTTCTCCTCACAAAACCAGGACCAGGTTTTAGGGACGGACAACTTTTGTTACCTAACGGGACGCTGATTTATCCCACGGCATAATGAAAAAAAAAATTACATTTGATGCACATATCCAAAGCAGTTATAAAAAAGAACTGTTTAAAATTCATATAGACAAAAAAAAAAAAAAAATTGCAAGGGTTTTCTTTCCTGGTTTGATTACCTCAGACCAGCTTTTCCCAGCTTAATACAGTAGTTCAGTCATTCTGAGTAGCAGCATTTATAAACTACCAATCTCCACTGATGCTTTTTGTATTTAATAACTGTGATCTTCTAATTTGGTAAAACTCACTCTAGAGCCTGAGCTTTCATCTCAGAAAAATAACCCCCTACTCCAAAAGCTGCAGCACTAGAATGATGCTCTGAAAAGCTTTAACCAGAAATGAGCTCCAGATGCACTGCTGAAATACAGCATTTGCAGATCAAAGCTTGTTATTTCTGTAGGAAAGGCAAAAGCATTTGGGTTAAAAAAACTGCAAGAAATAAAAATTTGTTCTTTTAATTAACAAAGGATTTTAGTATTGACTGACAGCAACAACAATATAAAAGCACCAACTGGGTCTTAGAATGCCATGCCAATGAGCATGCTTGGTATAAACCCTTTAATATCACAGGAATGATTTATTGGGTTATTAATTTGGGTTCCAGCCAAATCTATACAACAGGTTTTAAAATGCATGCACATAATAGCTTTAGGATTTAATTTTGTATTTTTTCTTTAAGAAGAAGAGAAGTCACTTCTTCAAAGTGCTGCTGTTCTTCTTGCTTATTTACTTACTTTAGGGACATCATTAAGACCTTTGGTGAAAAACAAAACAAAGCAAAAATGGGCAGTTCTCCACTGCCTCACACACAATTTTTCACAACTTTCTGGATCCAATTCTGAAGAACTAATCTGTATGCACGAACCAAAGGCTTTCTGGCACCACTTCTCTTCTGAATGACTCCAAATTAGGTCTCTGGGCTACAAACCAAGTCTTCCCCCTAACCTCCTCTTGATTACCGTAAAGCAAAACCGAGCTGCCCTGAATACACGAGTGTGTCTGAATGGAGGTTCCAGCTGATCAGAGAAAAGGGAATGGCTGAGCTCTCCCAGAGACAAATTCTCAGCCTTTGGCTAAGTAATGAGAAGGATCTGGGTAATAAATGTTACAGAGCGTAATGATTTAGAAATAGCACAACATGGAGGTTAATCAATGGTTGCCACCCTGGATTTAAAGAAAAATGTAAAATAACACAGCATACAGACAGAGACAGAATAAACGGTACTGATGAGGCTGCAAAATGTGGATACAGACAGGACTTTTTCAGAGTCAAAGCAAATACCCAATGTTTTACTCAAAGAACTTGTACATGCACAAAGCTCCCACACTACCTGTACACTGACTGGCAGAGCAAACATAATTATTGTGGTGTAATTCTTCCTACAGAGATGCAGGAGGCACAAAAACAGAGCAAACAACTGCCATCCAAATAAAGAAAGTGTTGCACCGGTCTGACCATGTTCTGTTCTCACATGGGATCTCCTGTTATGGCTGCTTTGTTGAAAGGGAAAATCATCTTCCTAACCAGAACAATCTTGCCACAGAGCTGAGCAGTGCAGACCTGCAAAGCATAAGCACAGATCCCTGGACCAAAATGTTTCCTCCTCCTGCAGCTGAGAGCATTACCAACAGGGACAAGCATCTTCTGCTCACCAGCTCATGGTTCACCACTAAATACACACTGCCAACTGCGAGTTCTACAAGATGCAGGCAGATATTCCTCTTGTCCCTGAGCCAAATGGGTGCTTCTCTCTGTCTCACATGTCCAAAGATGAAATGGCCCCTCCCAGTTGTCACAATGCCTCCCCAGTTGTCCCAATCTTCTGATAGGACTGCACCTTCTGAGAAATCTCCCCTGTTCTGTTGAAACGATCTCCTCTATCTCCTCTAATCAGTGCACAGGGCAGCTCCAGAGCGTGGCTGGAGGTGTCTGCAGATGCAGCTGAGGTGAACGTGGCGCTGCCCTGATGCCTTTGGGCAGTGACAGTGTGCACACAGGATCTGTACGAGAAGAGGTGGCGTGCTGCCACCAGAGCATATTAAACACACAGCCTCACCATCCACTTTTGGAAGGCTCTGCCTGACACAGAACCTGGCACGAGGCCACCCTAACAGATGGGCACAGATGATGGCAGCAAAGAGACAAAGTGCTGTACATCCAACAACTGCAGGGGCCCCAGGCAATGGCTTTGGAAGGTTCTGGAGTGTGCAAAACTTGCACGGTGACAGTTAAAAAGGCATGTGCCATCTGTGGGCTGGATTAACTACTAATATATAATGAAAATACATCTGTTGGTGTCTGGTGTTGCTCAGAACTAGACAAGAGCTGGTCTGCATCATGTATGGACATTTTGCTGGATGGAGAGGGGAAGGAGACAGATCCCTTCAGTCTTCCTGCCTTTGAAGGGATGAAGCTTGTCACACAAAATGTTGGAAATCCAGGCAATGATTTTATGATCTTGTCATGGTGCAAAATGTCCCACACATGAAAGATGGAAACACATCCCACACATTTAACATGCAGAAGCCAGAGCCCCTTCTCCTACCACATACCAAGCAAGAGCTCCTTGTCTTAAAATGGCTGTCGTTTGAATGTCAACAAGAAGCTCCTGGTAATTAGGAAATTGTGGAAATACAAGACACACGATACTGAAAAGGCCAAGACTGTTTTGTTCCTTTCTCGTTTCCTAGTAATAGGCAAGAGTTGAAACATATGATTATTGCCCCATAATGGCAGGGTACTCTAGTCCAGCTGGCAAAACACAAGACTTTGAACATATTATTTCTGTGTAATTGTTTTCTGCTGTGATACATGAACAGACAGTTTATCTGCACAACTGAGGACCAAATTTCCATAGAAGACTGTCATATGTACTTTGCTAATAGTAAAGGATTAAGGTTTAAGGTGCTATTAGCACAAAACAAATAAGCACTAAAGGGAAAAAAAAACTTTGGCTATGACATGCCCAAGAACATTAAGTAAAAACTTTCATTTTAAACCTGATTAAATAACAAAAACCCCACAAAAATTACTGTTCCTTTTTAAAAATAACTCTCCAGATAGAGTAGCCTATACCTAATGCTCAGTTTATGCTCCATGCCCTGAGACATCTCATGAGCCAGCCATGGAGTGGGGTAGCATTGCTTTGTCTTCCTGAGCTCATGACCTTTACTTGGTTCTCACCCAAACTCATGTACACTCAGCAATTTGGAAATCTACCATCACATCTGGCCCCAAAATCTTGCTTTCTGCTGGAAATGTTCTCACTGCTCAGATCAATCCTTGAGAAGCAAGGGTAAAGAATCCCAGAACCAAGCTGCCACCTCACACTGAGGTCCTCGAGGAAGGCTCCAGCAGACAACTGCCCTGCAGAAAGGTCAAGGCAAAGATGTTGTGTTTGGAGTTATGAGCTCAGTTAATAAAAAGATGTGTGGGTAACTCCTTTCTTAATCCCATAAACAAGAAATTTTTCAAAGTACACCAAAAGATCTCCATGTCCCTGTTCCTGCTAATATCAAAGGGAACAGGAATATTCTCATGCCAACAATTTCTCGGCCACAGAATAAAGGATACATCTCAGTTTTGAGCAGCACATTTCTGATGCTGTCTGAACAAGAATTGCTTTCTGCTTCCCATTTTCCACTGCAGAGGGCACTAAATTTAGGTATGGAAAAGGCTTTTTACATCTTATCAAGGACTGCTGCTGAACAGAGCACTTTGTGCTGTTGGCACTGAACAGATCCTGTTGATTTATACCATGCCATCCTTTATCAGAGAGCACAGAAGCTGAGCAGCAGACTGGAAAGGACATGAAACCCAACCAAAAGAACACCTGTAACTATTACATTGAAAGGGTTCCAAGAGAAACTATAACAAGAGTGCAGCAGATGAACAGATTAAAGCTTCATGTCTGAAATACATCATCAGTAGCATAACTTTAGCATCCTCCCATGGGAAAAAAGACTAGGTACTAGTAATCAAATTCTGAAAGTTTTTAAAAGGTTTTTTAGGATTTTTTGTTTAAAATAAGATGGATTTTTTTTATGACATTCTCCTTTCATGCAAAAAAAAAAAAACAAACACCACAATTCATGATCTCTATTCCTGGTGAGACTCTCATGTTGTCCTGTACATTGAAATCCTACTGGTTTTGTACATGAAGCTATTAAACCCATAATCATTCAAACTATTTGAAACCGAAGCTATTAAACCCATAATCATTCAGACTATTTCAAACCAGGGCAGAGAGTCCCCCTCTATACTCACCTCCCACCTGGTGAGGTCATGGAGTTTAATTACACAAACAGTTCTTATTGAAGGACCACGTTTGTCCCAGAGCACTTCTGGGAAGCTCTACATATTCAACACATCAGTAACTGCAATCAGTTAAGTGTTCTATCTAATCTGATTGTCTCCTGGTTATCTCCTTGAAAAGCTGGCTCACTATCTCACAGCAGTCCTCACACTCCCAGGGGAATTGCTCCATATCATGGTGATCACAGCAGACTTCTGCCAACATCAACCAGCTCCTGAAGCATCACCTCAGAAGGCTCACACAACCAAAAATCAACCACAGCTCTGGGTTTCACCGCTCACTTTTAATAAGCAAAATGGAAAGACTGTTTCCTCAAAGGTTTTGTCAGAATATTACTCCCAAGTTATTTTGAAAGTGATCTGTTTACTAGTGATACAATCAAGCTCTCCAAGTTTTTCATACCTGAGCCTCAGATCCTCCCTATTTTTTTTCTCCTTTTTTTTACCCCACTACAACATAAACAAGCCATAATCATTACTCATACCTCAAAATATTCAGTTGTGGTTTTCTAGTTAGCTTATTTTCCCTTCAGTAATTTAAAATAGAACATCACAGTCCTATATTTACATTGCATACATCCTCAGGATACATATTAAATTTTGATTTCTAGACATAAAGTGTAACAATCTGTTCCATTTAAATAGCTGCCTTTAAATGCCACTGAGAACAGTAAATAGCCCCACTTTTGACAGCAGTAACAACTATGTTCTTTAGAAAGTTACAGTGCACTTGTAATTATTAAGACAGCCATGATTATATGGCACCTGAAAGAAATGCTGTGTTTGGAATACCACAGTAACAAGACTAATCCTTAATTATGGATATTCTGAAATTGTGGATGCCATTGGAGCTCATACAGATAGATAACTAAGAGCAGGGCTCAGGAACTGCTTGCTGTGGAGGGACAGTGTATGATTGGTGAAGAGCACAGCTGTGTCTCAAGTACTGTGCTCTTCCCCAGCCACACACTGTCCCGGGCTCTTTTCTGCTTCTCATTTCATCTCACCAAATGTTGAGTACACTCTGCCAGTGCCAGCAAGGGAATGGAGCCCAAGCACCTCGTATGTCAGCTATCCTGGGTGCTCCCATCCCCAGTTCTGTGTCTGTTCAGTGACACAGCAGATGAGTTCAACAGCCTCAGGGAGACTGAGGCGGGTGATGAAACTTCCAGCAGCCTCTCTGCCCTCTGGGGAGACAGCACTGAACTCCCTGCCCTCTGCTCAAAGCCTGGCCAGGGCTGGCTGCAGGCAAAAGCCTCCACACAAAGCCACCCCCTCCTCAAAATTCAGGCTGGATTTGTGCTCAGCGGTAGATCTTGTACCCAGCTTCTGCCTGCAGAAAGCCATTACTTCCTGACTTTTGCAAAAGTTAGATTTCTACTTCAGGCCTTTGAAAATGGACCTTTGAGCGTGTTTGACAACAGCAGCCTCCTGTGAGCAGCAGTTTCCCCATCAGGCTGTGGCACTTGGAGGCTCCCAGCTCGCTCCTGCCTTCAGAGGTTTTGCTGAACAGCAGCGTTTTGTTTCCAGCCCACAAGAGCCCATAGAGACGTGCCAGCTCAGAGGCAGCACTAAACATCTTTCAAGAAGGGATCTGACATTTCCTTTTGTTCTCTTTTCTGTAGTATTTTCTCCTTCGAGAAGGTTATTTGAAGTTATCTGGTGCTGACATTTAGGGAAATGTGAAGCATGAATTGCAGTAGCTGTTCATAGGTAGTGAAGCAGGGCAGGACAGGGTGTCCTCACTGCAGGCACTGGCCAGAATGTGCCTAATTGTTCAAACACTCCTACAGTGCAATCTCTGCAGTGCTTTTCTCTCTCCCACACACAAATTAACACCCAAGCACCAGTAGAAGGGTGCTATATTTTAGCACTGAGGTTTTTCTAATCTGGCGCTCCATCATAAACCAGGGGCATCTCTTCCATCCCACAGTTTCATGACCAAAAGGACGCTTCTGCATGCAAATCCTACCTGTCACAATCACAAAAAATTTCCCCAAATTCCCCATGTGTAAATATCTCCCTGCAAAAAAACTACCAGATAACTCTGTCTCTAACAAAAAGGAACATATTTTACAGCACTAATATTCTTGAATTAAATTTGCATTTAGTGACATTTTATTTATACACTTCTACCAATGAACACCTCACCACAAGATGCCAAAACAATCAAGAGTTAAAGAAATTGGCACTACAGAGCTCCCCCTTCTCACTCCACAAGTCCATTAACATACAGAGTCCTACATAACCACAACTTCCAGACACACAAGCAAACCAATGTAAATCTTATGGCCTGGTTTCCCTAAGTGCTGATTTTCCAAAGAATAATCAAAGTTAAAAAAAAAAAAACAAAAAAAACCCAAAAAACAAAAAACAACAAAAAAACAAAACAAAAAAAACCCACAAAAAAACAGATCTCAGCCTTCCTGCAAAATCAACAACAATTCAGTTTCAAAGTTTTTCAAAGTTTTTGTTAAGATCTCTGTGACCATATTTACATCACTTAAATCAGAAATGTCTGCATTATCACAACACTTTTCAAATGCAGAAAGAAACATCAGTCACTTCTACACAGAGGAAAAGAAGTGTTGTCTCCTTGTAAACGTATGACAGCTGCTGAATTTCTATCAAGGAGCCATTAAATATGATCAAATATTTCAATGTCTGCTAACAAAGGAATTGTCTGTCCTTGCATTGAGCTTTACAAAAGCAGTCAGCAAGCTGGAGAAAACAAAGCAGGAAAATCTCCTGTGGAAAACCCTGCTGCAGTGAGCAGAACTGAGCAAGTCACATCCCAGCCCTATTCAAGTGTTTGTGCCACTGCATCTTATAAAAGATAACAGAGGCCTCAGAGTCACATTCCTGAAGTGAAACTGTTTGCCAAAATACCCTGGAAATTTACAGCAAGGATTTGTACATACTGGAAGTAGTCTCCTAGTCCCACGTGTGCTTCCTTTTACCCCCTTGTGACAAAAGAGGCAGAACTCCAAGGACACAGACACACCACAGCACTCTGAACACCTCAGCGCTTCTGCTTCAGCAGCCCCCAGAGACTTTGGGCCAGCCTTGGGATTTATTTATAAGCTCTCAGTAGCCTTCACTGCTGTGGTTAAAGGTCAAGTTTTCCCACTCTTCCCTTATTTGCAAAATTGTCCAGGCTTATTTTGGATAACTGCAGTGTTAACCCATCCTGTGTACAACCACGGATGTGATATAAACCCTCAGGGCCAGAGCCTCAAGTTCTCCGAGAACAACCACATGTATTTTTCATGTCACAGTCATTTTGCACCTGTGCTATACAACCAACATTTACTACACGTGCCAAATTCCTGGCACAGGGATATTTCCAGGAGCATCAGATATTCCACACACAGGGTTCTATCAGCATACAGCACTATGCTGATACACATGCCATTGTTACACACACAAAAAAAACATTTTCAGGCTATATGTGAAAATACTGACTGTCAGCTCATGCTATTTCATAAGAGAAGAGCAGGAGAAATCATGAGTTATGATCATATATATTTTATATATATATATATATATATATATATATATATAATATATTCTTATATACTATATTTCATATATAATACATAAAAATATTATATAACATAATTTATATAAATTAGATTTTATATATTTTATATATTCTATATAAAATAGAATTCTATATACTTTATTATAAATTTAATTATATAAAATCTTATATGCTTATTATAATTTTATAATAAATTTATATTGTTTATAAAGGTGTTATATATTATATATTATTTATACAATTATTATAATTTTATAATTAATTTTTTCTAATTTTAATTATATAAAAATTATATATTTTATATAAAGTATTATGTTTATATATATATGTAAGGTATATTTTATATAAAATAATTGATTTTTTATATATGTAAGGTATATTTTATACACCTCACATATTTTAAGGAGGCTGAAGGGCAAGATATGGGATGTGGATGGACATCACATCCCCTCTCTGAGCATAGAGAAGGTACATGGCAGTTCCCAAGGCAGGGAACCCTTTCTCCCAGGCTTTTCACCTCCCTCCCAACCTGCAAATCCCACTGTGCCCCACAATCCTCACCGCTCAGGGACTGGTCTGCTCCCAGCACGTTCCATTCTGCCGGCAGCTTCAGGTGTCGAAATGCCAAGGCCACTTTCTCATCCAGAAAGTCCACGTCTGCAGCTGGTGGCCGTGACCTGTCCAAGAACCGTGTGAAATTCAGCGCCTGCTGGTTGCCAGCACAGGTGGCCAGAAACTGGGCGGCATCGTAGGCTTCATCCTGGACAAACTGGAAACTCTCCTCTGCCACAACCAGAACGGGGTGACCTTCTCTAGAGGCACAAAGTGCCACCTTCACTGTCTCACAGCAGTCATGGCCTGCAAAACAAAATTCAGACAAATGATAAAAAAAAAAGAAAAATTGCATGGGCTTAGGAAACACAACTGAGCAACTCCTGTGACACATACACACTCTTTGCATTAAATCAAATAAGACCAAGTTACTGAGGGTCACAACTCTAAAATAACGTTGTCTTTGGAATTTATATGTATCATCAGAGATTAGTATTTCTTATAGATTTGAAAAGGAAAATATGTATAACTCTTCTCTGTCCCAGTATAAGCTAAGAACTATAAGCCACCCAGGCTATTTATATACAGCCACAAGCAATCTGACAAGTCTTAAGTAATTCAAGTAAAAGATTTTGCTAACATACCTAAAGCCAGGTAATATGGACAAATTTTTTCTTCTCCAGCTCCACAGGACACTAATAACTCATCAGAAACTTGAATCTGAGTGTTGCAAAACTACATACTCCAAATGCTGTCACAATTCTTGGCTTGCACTGAAAACACTGAAATTTCACCTAACACAAAGGTCTACATGGCTACCAGAGCAAGACCTGCCTGGGCACGCCCTGTGTGTGCTCACTGCTGCACCTGCCCCTCGCATTTGGGTTCACACAACAAAACTAAAAACTAAGCTGCTTCTGCTAAATAAAAACATGGAAATGGCCACTTTCCATATTTACAAAACAGCAGGGTTGGAAGTCTGGTAATTTCATTATTTATTTAGGACAGGGAAACGGGAGAAAGGAGGCATGGCAGCAATTTCACTGACTCAGAAACTTGAGGAGAAAAAAAACCCAAACAGCAAACCAAACCAAACACCTTTTGGGAATTTTAAAAGGAAAAATATACTATGTGTCCAACACAACCAGAACTTGTAGTTGTCAGACATGCCCCTTCAATAATAAGGTTTGTGTTTCAAGTTCACTGTGTGGTACAGTTTCTTGTTCCAGCCTCAGACTGACGTCATGGCTGTTTTTGCCAGAACAGCATGGACCCTGCACTAATTACTGGAAAAGCTTTTTTTTGCCCATGACCTCAACATACTACCACATTCACGAAACCCTGATTAATTAAATACAAAATGACGATTTATTTTTAAAGCCTTGAAAACTCAATTTAAGCCCCTATTTGTGGTCAGTGGGAAAGTTTCCTTCTTCTGTTGGGGCCTTTTGCTGTTGATTTCCCTGACAAAAGGGAAAATATGTCCCTAATCTTCATGGTCTTTCAGCCAACCTCACAAATCTGTTCTGAGGCTTCTGGCATCTGTACAGATTTTGTCTTCTGAAAGAGGCAATCCTGAAGTTAATTGAAAGGTCAAAACTGCTATTAGGACACTGCTGGTAACACCAAAATTGTCAGAGATGAGGCTGTGGCTTCCTAAGGAGAGCAAATGCAGCTGGAAAGGTATCAAAGGCAAGTGGAGAAAGGGAGGAAAACACACAGGGATGTTGCTGCAACTGCCCAAATACAACCAGGATGCTCTGAAGCTGAAAGGTGAGAAGACTTTCCTTCCAGCACCAGATACCTATTAGCAAGAGGATGATATGAAAGCCGAAGGAGTAGATTTACTAGTTTTGTTGTTTTGAAGAATAGGGGTAGGAAGAACTTCTACTGCTTTGAAAATACTGCATGTGCATTCTAATACATTATTGTATTAGTACTCAGCTGCCCAGATGGAACCCATTCACAGATTCTGCTCATCCTCACAGTAAAAGCCCCAAATGCTCAAGGGAAAAGTGGGGAGAATGATACAACTGTGAGGGAACTTGCCTTTAAGGCCATTTAGAACTTAGTACATGCCTCCCCCTACACCTTCTTGCTTCCTAAGAACGTCAAACACGGAGCAGGAAAGACATTAATTTTGTTTCCAGCCTCAACAAAAGGGATCTCCATGCACACTGTGAGAGGACTGTGCCAGCCTACAGGAGCTGACTCAAATCCTGCAAGCTGGGCTCTCCCTAACTCAGAGCAGTGGAAGGCTGCTAGAATGCAGAGTTTAAAAAAAACAAACACAGTAAAAGCTTTCTTAATATCATGAGGACAGCTAAACCTTTTATTCAATTTTTTAAAACTATTTTCTGCCTATTCCCATAAGAATCCCATCTGCAGAATAACCTAGAATACAACTACTCTGCCAGCAGACTTTCAGGATTGAAGCAGCAAGCCAAAATAGCCCACGAGCAGCTACAGAGAAACCATTTGGGACAGTCACTTCCTTGTCACAATGCCAAACAACTCTGCTGTGGGACAACAAAGGCTCCTCCATCGAGACAACAGCTACAGGAACCTCTGTCAAGACGTGTGGTCTCCTTAAAGCAGCACATCAGGGATGTACACAAAGTTCCCTTGGATGGAGTGTGTGTTAAACACCAGCTGCAAAAGGCAACACAAGGGAAGGTGATAAAAAGACCATGTCCTGACCTGCGGACAACAAAGATTCTACTCAAACTTCACCAGATATTGAATATGCAGCCTGGAAGAGAAAGTGACAGACCTGACAGTCCATTTTTATCTAACAGGATCAAACAAACATCATGCTAAACCCAAGGGAATGTTCTTCTGAAAGGCAACAGCTTGCAGTGCTTTGATGTTGTGCTTCCTCACATCTGAGAAGATGTCAGACATGGGGGCAAGAACATGGGACAGGTTCTGACTTTTGGCAAGCAGTACAAATGAAAAGGGAGCCAGGATGTAACAAGAGCAGACAATACTAGAAAAATTGCTCAAGAGGTCTCTGCCCCCTGCTTTGAAATCGCTGCAGGAATGGTGTGAGCAAACATGTCCCCAGTACAGGAACCTTCTGAAGGAACCATCAGTGGGGCAACACTTCTCACCACATCAAAGATCCAATGGCCTGGACTAATACCTGAACTTCTACAGCCCTTGTCCCAGAGCACGACCAGAAGGGAGCTGAGCCTTCTGGCACTCTCAGGAGGCACATAGTTATCACTGCAAAACCAAATCTGTTTTCAAGAGGTTAAGTAACTTGCTCTCAATCACACAGAGCTCCAGGCAGTGCCAGAACAGCCAGTACTGCTCCTGTGCCTCACCCTTCTTTCTGCTCTCTCTGGCAGACAGCAGGGCTCTCTCCTACTATGGGTTAAGCACCAAGTTATGCACTCATCAGCCATCAGCGTGGCTCCATCACCTCTGTCCATCCACTATGGACTGCTGGAACGCCCTCACACACCTGCCTAGATGTGGAACAGAAAAATGTCTAGCATTGAAAGGGGAAAAAGAAAAAATTCTGTGTGTGTCAGTGGGCTGGTTTTGGTGTTGTGGTGGAATAGTTAATTTTCTTTGCAGTAGCTAGCGTGGGGCTGCTTTGGATTTGTGCTGGAAACAGTTTTGATAATCCAGGCATATTTCCCTTCTTGCTGAGCATTGCTTCCACAGACCCAAGGCCTTTTCTCCTTCTCACCCATCCCACCAGAGAGGAGGATCGGGGCACAAGGAGTTAGGAGGGAACACAGCCAGGACAGCTGACCCCAAGTGACCCAAGGGATATCCCAATGTCAATGTACAGAGCTGGGGAAAGAGGGAGGAAACCTTCCCTACATGTGATGGAGCCCTGCTGCCCTGAGGATGGCTGAACACCTGCATCCCTATGGAAAGCAGTGACCTAATCCCTTGTTTTGCTTTGTTTGCATGTGGCTTTTGCTTTATCCATTAACCTGGCTTTATCTCAGCTCTGAAGTTTTCTCACTTTTGCTCTCCCAATTCTCTTCCCCACGGCACAAGAGGAAGCTGTGTGGGGCTCAGTTGCTGGTTGGGGTTAAACCACAACAGTCAGGAAAAGCAGTGAGCCTATTGACAATGGTGTGCATTTCCATAGGCTGAAAACACATGTAACTGAATAAATCACATAGATAAGAGCACCTCAAAGAAGGGATGAGAAATTTCCATGCTTTACAATGCCATCAGGTTCCCAATACTGCCCAGCAACCCTTCTGATTGCCTTCAGTCTTCTCCAGAAATCAGGGCCTTTGGTCAAACAGCAATAGAACTGATGAAATACTCAATTTCTGTCATGCTTGTACCATCCAGCAGTATCCTTGATCAAGTTTTGACTCTCCTCACAAACTTAACTGTTTCTCTCTAGCTGCCATCTCAAACTGCCTGGCTACACTTCCTTTTTTGACACTTTTTTTTTTTTTTTTTTTTTGCCACAGTATCAAATGTGGCCATTTGTATGCTGTCTGTGATAAAAGTCAAATGATCCATCCCTTAAGTCCAGCAACATTGCATTTTATACCATTTCTCCTCTTCCTCCTCAGTTACTTTAAATCCAGCTTAGAAACAATACTTGACTTGGATCTGCTTGGAGAAACACCAACATATTGCAGGAAAAATACAGAAATTAAAGAACTATTTCAATCTATGCAGAGATGGGTACAGTGACTAATTCTGCTTCTATACATCTAACCACCCTTTAAAAATAATTTTAAATGAGACAGAAACCCTTGAACTGAAGAATTCCTTACTGGGAATGAATGGGGACACTTAATGAAGCTTGCTCTGGGGAAAAGATGAGAATGAAAAATGAAGACATGGTGCTCTGGTCTGTCTGCTCTTATCCCTGAAGAGATGAGATGCATCAGCATGATGGCACTGCTTCCTCTACATGGTGCTGATGCAGATCAATGAGTATGAGAACAGGGAGGGATTTCTCAGCTGCAAGTCATTAGCAGATAAATTAATGTACAGCTCAGACCTGTCCATCCAATTGCTACCTGTGCCTGTGATCTGGGGTGCAGTTAAAAGGGCAGCAGCACAACTCTTCTGGCTTCTTGTTTTACAAGGCCTACATGGAGACAAAACACCCCTAAACAGAGCTTTCTTAAAAGATGATTTCATTTCCTACTCCTCCAAAAGTGGAAATCCTGTCCAAACCTCCTATTTTCAGAATTCACACTGGAGCTATCAAACAATGGGCCCCCAGGCTGGGCAGCTATTTAAAGCCCTGATGGAAGGACATGTTTGGGTTTGCTTGGTAGGTGACTAAAGACTTAACTGCATCCTCCAAG